GACCCACATCGGGGTCTGGGGGGCAAAAATGTAATAATAATAATAATAATAATAATAATAATAATAATAATAATAATAATAATAATAATAATAATAATTCATAGTAAGTAAATTTGTAATAAATAATACAAAATTTAGAATAAAATAATAAAATAATAATGATATTAATAATAATACAGCACTACTAATAATAATATCACTGTAATAATAATATTAAGGAAATACAAAAAAAAAGCAATACCGTATAGTCTGCATTTACGCGGTCAATTGAACCCGTGGAGGTCTGCGTAAAACGAAAACGCGTAAACGAAATAACAGAACATATGGGATTAATTGAAATAGAGACTGGGCCGACCCCCAAACTCTATTTTTTCCGACACAATACGTACGTTGTAGTAAAAAGAACATCTTAATTTTATGATGGTATGCACACACAATTAATATTTAAGAGAAATATCAATAATATTAGGTTTTTAAACACTTACGTTAGTAGAAAAGATGGGTCGGCACACGTGGATGGCAGCTGGTTCCGAGGCAGAGGGCAGATTAGTTGCCCTCCGGTGAATCACTTTCACTACTCGCAGAGGTTTGCAGGGCCTCCCAGACAAACCTCTCAAAGTCCATATCCTCACTGTCACTATCACTATCACTGACATGGGCTGGCTGTGGTTGTGGTGGGTTGCGGGCGAAGAAGTCCTTAATACTATGTTGACGACTAGCATTGATGTTGTCGAGATAGATATGGATATACTGCTCCATAACTTTCGTCAGATGGTTATTAGACACTTCATACCGATGCTTGATGCTTGTCTGGGTCGTTGTCAAGGATGAGCTTAATTTTCTCCCCCAACTCGATGATTTCCTTCACATAATCATTGCTTGGTCCAGGTAGTTCAAGGTTTTTCTCGGGTGGTGGGGGTCCAGCGGAAGCCATTGTGAGGTGAATAGCGGACACAAGAGAGAACTGTATACGCGGACTGAGAACAGTGAGACTGGCCCGGCTAGGTCAGCGACTTCTGGTGGCAGGGCACGTCATGTTACATTAGACCAATCACACCTAGCGGCGGAGGGAATGCGTGGGTGGTAAAGATGCGTGGCCCAATCACAGTCCGATACGTCATATGACGTCAGCGATAACGTAAGAGCGACCTAATGCTCACCCCTAACCGCACCGCTTCCCGTGTATGGTCAAGAATGGACCGCGTGAGTAAAAAATGGCGCGTATGGACCTCTCCAGCCTCGCCGCGTAAATGATGAAATTTACCGCGTAATTAAAACATTTCATTCTGGCAAGGCACCGCGTAAATGACCAAACGCATAAACAAAAACCGTGTAAATCCAGACTATACTGTATATGTATGTTGTGTTGTCAATAGAAAGAGAAACAATTGAGACCCTGCAATTGTGTGTAAATGAGGCAGAAAGTCAGATCAGCAACCTGGGAATTGGTCACAATTTTCGTGGTGTCATATGGCAGCAGGGTCTACTATTAGACAATACTTTATGCTTCTTCCAATATCTTCCCAGGCGGTAGTACCTCCCTGTTTGGTAGTTGCCTACTATGCCAGTACTGTTTAACAGAATAATGTCTGGGTCTAATTGATAGTATAAGTTAGACAGTTCGTTACGTTTATTAAGGGACCAGTGTAGGACATTATGTTGGACAATTTTCATCCTGCTAATGACTGCCATTTCAGAGACTGTAGCTTGGGGCGTCGCTTGAAGTGTTTGATCGGCTTCTGCCATTTCTAGGGGGCCGGAACTTCTTAGCAGAACCTTCGAATATCTGCTTGTCAGTTAATGGCGGGCCCTCGAACTTCTCGTCACCCATGTACAGGAAGGTGCTCAGGTCCTGGGCCTGCGTGTCGAAGTAATCTACTGCCGCTGCAGCTCGGGGGTGTTGTTCCTCTGTGGAGTAAGTCACCATCACCTGGTCGCAACTATTGACTGTGATTGGAGTCCGACGGTCACTGTCGTGGCTGGGAGTACATGTCTTGGGGTCACGGAGATTTACGGTGTCGTTGGAGCTGTGATCCCAGGGGGACTGACTGGCCACGTCGGGGCTACGGTTATACTGACTTCTGCCAAAGTCAGGGAGGTCATGGTCCATTTCTGGCGTGGGTTGAGGTCGTCGTTAAGTCGTTGAGTGGGTTACTGCCTTCAGGATTTCTTTTGAAGGGACGTCGTCGCTTATTTTAACAGGTGCAATGTTGTTCCTGGTTAGTGTCTCGTTGAGGTGTTTCGAGAATGAACCTGGATGAAACATGTTCATGTGATGGGTATGCAAGTAAGACAAGAATATAGCAGTGGCTTTGGACTCGTCCAGCTGTGGAGAGGAGACGCTCCTGATGCTCTTCGCTCGTCCCTCATGGAGGCCAGTGACTCAGTAACTGCCTGTTTTATTGAGTCCTTGATGGTTCTTATCTCTGATTGCAGGACTTCCATGGTTTCGCTGACATTGTTGAGTTTTTGTGGTCTGCTTGAGTTTTCTTTCAGAGCGTCTTTTAGGGTTTGGTTGTAGCCGTGATCGTTGACCAGTGGTCCTTTTGAGGTTAGAAATTTCCCGGGTTTCTTTTTGCTTGGTTATTTAGGTCAGTTTCTTCTCTGTTTCTTGAATTACCCGTTTCCTGACCAGGCAGGTGGCAGAGAAGGTCCTGTGGCCACCCTTGCAGATGACACACTTTATGATGGTGCTACGGCAGTCTTTGTAGAAGTGTTGATCAGATGAACACTCAGAGCATATGAACCCTTTCAGGGGGCAATTCTTGGTCATGTGGGCATTGTATTTGTAGCACTTCATACATTGTTGGACGGGCGTATACTTTTCATATTCTATTTGGTGTGAGGAGATGGAAGTGGCATATGCAAAAGACCCCTTCTCCTTCATTCTTTTTGCATCCGTTGTGCCTTGATTATATTATGGGCATACATAGGATACACCTCCACAACCTTGACATTGTTTTGCTTTTGTATTTCATCTCTTATTTCTCCTGCGTTATTTTCCACTACATCTTTGTCCAACTTCTTACATACAAGGGTGAGCTTGGCGCCGTATTCCCGTGGGACAATGACCTCGTATCCGTTAGTTTTCATTTTCTCCATGGCACCAGACTTAAGTAGTTCATCAGCATCTTCATCTCTTTCTGTGAGGATGATGTAACCATCTCTCTGATCCACGAGTCTATTTATTCTCACCCTTAGGTAGCGTAATAGTCCTTTTAGCCCTATCCGAGACCCCTGGGTCGGGTTTCAGTTCTTCACTCTCACTTTGGCCATGGTCAGTAACATACATGAAAATCCTACCTAATAATTATGTCCACCTCAGCTAAACCCCATGGATGCCACTCCTTCTGTCCACTTGCAGGGCGAGTAGAGATGGGTCTAGGGGTAGGGTGAGACTGTACATAACAGAGCCACCACTTTAAGTTAAGAAACCCTGATTGTTCTCATATTCATATAAGTTAGAAATATCATTATTCACATATACTGTACAGGTAATATTGCAGAAAAATTCACCTGAAATTTGGAGATGTTGTGTAGACAGACAAACACCAAACTTGTTAATGAAACATCTGTAATAGATTTGTATTTTTTAATATGAAGATAAGCAAAAACAGAATCATAATGTGAGAACAACAATAATAAACAGGTTCCTCATCAGTCTCGTACAGAGTAGAGTATCATATTAGTTGCATAGGTGTGGCTGTTAAAAACTATAATATCCCTTTATGAGAACAAAGTGAAAAGCCATACACTGAAGCCTCACTATGTACATATTTACAATTTATTATTTTGGTGCTAATTCAAACGACCCAAAACCCCAATGATACTGAATTAGTGAGGATTCAGTATATATAATATGTAATATGGTTTCAAGGTACAGCACAGTATATCAACATCAAGGTGAAACTTAGAACTTACCACACATTACTCCTCCACTTAACACTCAAATTGCGACCAAAAAATATATAAAACAATAAATCAGAAATAGTTTCACAAGTCCCAAGAAGAAGTATTGTATTTCTATGATAAAATACAGTACATATAAAGTATTTCTGCTGGGCCCTACAACAGTTGTGTGTGGAGCGAGTATTGGGCCACAACCTCAGTGGAAGAGAGAACAGTGACAGACTGTTGCAAGACAAGCATTGAGTGTGTGTGTGTGTTGCAAGACAAGCATTGAGTGTGTGTGTGTGTGTTGCAAGACAAGCATTGAGTGTGTGTGTGTGTGTGTGTGTGTTGCAAGACAAGCATTGAGTGTGTATGTGTGTGTGTTGCAAGACAAGCATTGAGTGTGTGTGTGTTGCAAGACAGGCTGTGTGTGTGTGTGTGTGTTGCCCAGTAGAAACACACACACACACACACACACACCAGTACATCATATATATTAAAAATCCTGGTAGGTGATGACATATGCCTCACACCTCCATGTTAACAGATACATACATTAATGCCTCACACCTCAATGTTAACAGATACATACATTAATGCCTCACATCACCATGGCAACATGATACATACATTAATGCCTCACACCTCAATGTTAACAACAGTGATACATACATAATGCCTCACACCTCAATGTTAACAGATACATACATTAATGCCTCACACCTCAATGTTAGCAACAGTGATACATACATTAATGCCTCCACCTCAATGTTAGCAACAGTGATACATACATTAATGCCTCACACCTCAATGTTAACAACAGTGATACATACATTAATGCCTCACACCTCAATGTTAACAGATACATACATTAATGCCTCACACCTCAATGTTAGCAACAGTGATACATACATTAATGCCTCACCCTCAATGTTAAACAGTGATATACATACATTAATGCCTCACACCTCAATGTTAACAGATACATACATTAATGCCTCACACCTCAATGTTAACAACAGTGATACATTAATGCCTCACACCTCAATTTTAACAACAGTGATACATACATTAATGCCTCACACCTCAATGTTAACAACAGTGACATACATTAATGCCTCACACCTCAATGTTAACAACAGTGATACATACATTAATGCCTCACACCTCAATGTTAACAACAGTGATACATACATTAATGCCTCACACCTCAATGTTAACAACAGTGATACATACATTAATGCCTCACAAATGTTCAATAGGCACATTAATGCCTCACACCTCAATGTTAACAACAGTCATACATACATTAATGCCACACATCTCAATGTTACAGATACATACATTAATGCCTCACACCAATGTTAACAACAGTGATACATACATTAATGCCTCACACCTCAATGTAAACAGATACATACATTAATGCTCACACCTCAATGTTAACAACAGTGATACATACATTAATGCCTCACACATCAATGTTAACAACAGTGATACATACATTAATGCCTCGCACCTCAATGTTAACAGATACTTACATTAATGCCTCACACCTCAATGTTAACAACAGTGATACATACATTAATGCCTCACACCTCAATGTTAACAACAGTGATACATACATTAATGCCTCACACCTCAATCTTAACAACAGTGATACATACATTACTGCCTCACACATCAATGTTAACAGATACATACATTAATGCCTCACACCTCAATGTTAACAACAGTGATACATACATTAATGCTCACACCTCAATGTTAACAACAGTGATACATACATTAATGCCTCACACCTCAATGTTAACAGATACATACATTAATGCCTCACACTCCAAAACAGATACATACATTAATGCTTCACACGTCAATGTTAACAGCAGTGATACATACAGTAATGCCTCACACCAAATGATAACAGTGATACATACATTAATGCCTCACACCTGAATGTTAACAACAGTGATACACACTGTACATTAATGCCTCGCACCTCAATGTTAACAACAGTGATACATACATTAATGCCTCACACCTCAATTTTAACAACAGTGATACATACATTAATGTGTCACACCTAATTATTAACAGATACATACATTAATGCCTCACACCTCAATGTTAACAGTGATACATACATTAATGCCTCACACCTCAATGTTAACAACAGTGATACATACATTAATGCCTCACACCTCAATGTTAGCAACAGTGATACATACATTAATGCCTCACACCTCAATGTTAACAGATACATACATTAATGCCTCACTCTCAATGTTAAGTGATACATACATTAATGCCTCACACCTCAATGTTAACAGTGATACATACATTAATGCCTCACACCTCAATGTTAGCAACAGTGATACATACATTAATGCCTCACACCTCAATGTTAACAGATACATACATTAATGCCTCACATGTCAGTGTTAACAGCAGTGATACATACAGTAATGCCTCACACCTAAATGATATCAGTGATACATACATTAATGCCTCACACCTGAATGTTAACAACAGTGATACATACTGTACATTAATGCCTCGCACCTCAATGTTAACAACAGTGATACATACATTAATGCCTCACACCTCAATGTTAACAGATACATACATTAATGCCTCACACCTCAATGTTAACAACAGTGATACATACATTAATGCCTCACACCTCATAAAAAATTACCTTTCTGTAAAACATTTAATAATTGACTAGATGTATCTGTGAAACTCTTAAACTTATTCAATAATTTAACTAGACTTTTTAGATCTATTCAATGGTATAATCACATAAAAATAATTTAGGTTAACATTTGACAAACTTCCATTCGTATGAGATTAATTTACCCTTACTCTGCTCTTAATAATATAATGAAAAGATGTCCAACACAGGTCATGGGCGTATTGTAAATAATGCTAGGGAGTAGAGAGTGGTCACAGGTCTGTCATTAGAGGTGTACAGTATATAAGCATTCCTCGCTTTGTGAGGGGTTTTTGAAGACTTGAATCTTGCGGTTAACTGAGAAACACCTGTGTGAGGACACCGACGACACAGTTGTGACCACTGCCTCATAAATATCTGCCATGCTATTATACTCTTGAGTACCAGGTAATTATAGGCACAGAAAACAGCTACACTATATTCAAAAATTCAGTTCTTCCATTATAGACAAGTATAGAAAACTTAATTTGCCAAAATATACAGAGTGTATAGTACATTCTTTAGCTTATTATTGAGTACATAAATAATTTTGCCATGTACAAAATAGTGAAAATATGTAAACATCTTTGGTTTTGTGAATATCCATAAAGAGTGAAGGCAAGATTACCTTAAGTTATTGCAACCTGGCTTAAAGATTCCCCCACCCCCCACACAGTAGCTGGAAGGAGTTTTACATCATTACCTGGACAAATCATTATAATGCCACAGTACAATACTGTAGTTTTGGAGGGATAATTACTCTCACAGAAACAAACCTGTATGTCACTACATGACTCAAACAACAAACTTACACGAATGTAACAAGAATTTATCTCAAATTTGTTTTTGGTTGTCTAGTCAGCCGTATGTCTGCCTTCACCCGTCTACCTTTAGCCCTACGTCTGCCTTCACCCGTCTACCTTCAGCCTTATGTCTGCCTTCACCCGTCTACCTTCAGCCCTATGTCTGCCTTCACCCGTCTACCTTCAGCCCTATGTCTGCCTTCACCCGTCTACCTTCAGCCCTACGTCTGCCTTCACCCGTCTACCTTCAACCCCATCTGCCTTCACCCGTCTACCTTCAGCCCTATGTCTGCCTTCACCCGTCTACCTTCAGCCCTATGTCTGCCTTCACCCGTCTACCTTCAGCCCTATGTCTGCCTTCACCCGTCTACCTTCAGCCCTATGTCTGCCTTCCACCCGTCTACCTTCAGCCCTATGTCTGCCTTCACCCGTCTACCAGCCCTATGTCTGCCTTCACCTGCTCACCTTCTTATGTCTGCCTTCACCCGTCTACCTTCAGCCCTATGTCTGCCTTTCACCCGTCTACCTTCAGCCCTATGTCTGCCTTCACCCGTCTACCTTCAGCCCTATGTCTGCCTTCACCCGTCTACCTTCAGCCCCATGTCTGCCTTCACCTGTCTACCTTCAGCCCTATGTCTGCCTTCACCGTCTACCTTCAGCCCTATGTCTGCCTTCACCCGTCTACCTTCAGCCCTATGTCTGCCTTCACCCGTCTACCTTCAGCCCTATGTCTGCCTTCCACCCGTCTACCTTCAGCCCTATGTCTGCCTTCACCCGTCTACCTTCAGCCCTATGTCTGCCTTCACCCGTCTACCTTCAGCCCTATGTCTGCCTTCACCCGTCTACCTTCAGCCCTACGTCTGCTTATCGTGAGTGAGGGAATGCTTTTCCTTTAGGACATTACTTAAGGCGGCAACACACAGGCACTTGTACTGACATTTTCCCCTTTTGGCAGCCATAGTGGCATTGGCTTTTCCAGCAATTTTTAACAAGTGTGTTCACGGCGGGAGAACTTGTGGCACTGTAACCACAGTGGAGTGGCTGGAGCCAAATCAAAACAATAACAAGATGGAAATATAAACGTGAGAAAAAGCGCTTTAGAAGGAAGAAAGTTTGGTCCTGAACTGAAGAAACAGACTAAATTAACATAAATATCCTTAATCAACATAAGTTATTACAATTTTGAAGACAAGTTTCCTGCCTGTGTGTATAATGTAAAGTTTCACATGAATGTTTTGTATTTTCATTGTGGAAATAAAAAGATATATGGTGGTAAGTGGACAAGGAGGAGGGGTTCTGACCCCTCCTTTTCATCAGAAAATTTCAATACTTTTTCTTTACTGCAGTATTGAATTCAGGCATTTTTGTATAGTAAAAAATAATTACTATTGACATCAGAATATCTCCTAATATTAAGTGCACTTGGCTTCAAAATGGCCTCAAAGTGCCCATGATATTGGTCAGATTAAAAAAAAATCCTAGGGGGGACTTATAGCGCCCCCTCAACCCTCCACCAGCTGGGTGGGCTCACTATGCTCGCCATGTTCCCCCACCCACAACTTCTTGGACCCCCCCCCCTTTGATATTGCTGGATACGCCCCTCGACAATTGTCGGTAGCTGCATTTCAAACCAACACATCAGGCTGGAAAAATCTGCAGCTGTTGGCAGATGAAACTCCAGCCACCTGCCCCTGAAAACCAGCCACTACTGCTAACTGGAAGTGAAAATTGTCAGCACAAGTGCCTTAGTTTAACTTTGTCAGCTTCCTACACTTACCCCATACAGTTCTGCCAAACTTCTACACTATCATGGTTCCTTCCCACAACAACTACACATGTTTACTACTACACACACACACACACACACACACACACACACACACACACACACACACACACACAGGCGGTTTAAAAAGTCCCTTGATATACTCTATAACCTTATACCCAAAACTACAGGGTGTCTCAAAAAATGTAATGTAATGTATACCTGTACTGTACACACTGCGTTCCAGATTTCCATCCAGGGAGATTGTGTGAATATTTACATTACAACAACACCTCACTTGATGTGTGAGGTCTCCATACATACACTGATGACACCCCATACATACACTGAAGACACCCCATACATACACTGAAGACACCCCACACACACTGGAGACACTCCATACATACACTGAAGACACTCCATACATACACTGAACACCCCATACATACACTGATGACACCCCATACATACACTGAAGACACCCCATACATACACTGAACACCCCACATACACTGAAGAACCCCATACATACACTGAACACCCCATACATACACTGAACACCTACATACACTGATGACACCCTACACATACATTGAAGACACCCCATACATACACTGAAGACACCCCATACATACACTGAAGACACCCCATACATACACTGAAGACACCCATACATACACTGAAGACACCCCATCATACACTGATGACACCCATGCATACACTGAAGACACCCCATACATACACTGAAGACACCTCTACACACTGAAGACACCCCATACATACACTGAAGGCACCCCATACATACACTGAACACCCCATACATACACTGATGACACCCATACATACACTGAAGACACCCCATACATACACTGAAGACACCCCATACATACACTGAAGACACCCCATACATACACTGAAGACACCCCATACATACACTGATGACACCCTATACATACACTGAAGACACCCCATACATACACTGAAGACACCCCATACATACACTGAAGACACCACATACACTGAAGACACCCATAAATACACTGAAGACACCCCATACATACACTGAAGACACCCCATACATACACTGAAGACACCCCATGCATACACTGAAGACACCCCATACATACACTGAAGACACCCCATACATACACTGAAGACACCCCATACATACACTGAAGACACCCCATACATACACTGAAGACACCCCATGCATACACTGATGACACCCCATGCATACACTGAAGACACCCCATACATACACTGAAGACACCCCATACATACACTGAAGACACCCCATAAATACACCTGAAGACACCCCATACATACACTAAGACACCCACATACACTGAAGACACCCCATACATACACTGAAGACACCCATACATACACTGAAGACACCCATACATACACTGATGACACCCCATACATACACTGAAGACACCCCATACATACACTGAAGACACCCCATACATACACTGAAGACACCCCATACATACACTGAAGACACCCCATACATACACTGAAGACACCCCATACATACACTGAAGACACCCCATACATACACTGAAGACACCCCATACATACACTGAAGACACCCCATACATACACTGAAGACACCCCATACATACACTGAAGACACCCTATACATACACTGAAGACACCCCATACATACACTGAAGACACCCCATGCATACACTGAAGACACCCATACATACACTGATGACACCCCATACATACACTGAAGACACCCCATACATACACTGAAGACACCCCATACATACACTGAAGACACCCCATACATACACTGATGACACCCCATACATACACTGAAGACACCCCATACATACACTGAAGACACCCCACATACACTGAAGACACCCCATACATACTGAAGACACCCCACATACACTGAAGACACCCCATACATACACTGATGACACCCCATACATACACTGAAGACACCCCATACATACACTGAGCCCCATACATACACTGAAGACACCCCATACATACACTGAAGACACCCCATACACTGAAGACACCCCATACATACACTGAAGA